ATATATATATTTCTGTGATAAAACCTTAAAATATCCGAGGAAAGTGGTTTATCTAAGGCTTTATCAAACCTTGTTTGTTCTCTGTGTGAATAATAGTAGAGACATTACATAGAATAGAACCATGTTAGCATTTTATTGAAACGTTAAACTCATCTTTATGAATAAAAAAACAGTAGCCAAATATTGGGGTAAGAACCTGTAAGATCAGAGAATAGGGAGCAGCCGCCAGTTGCTTTCTACTTCTTCAGCTCCTCCATCCAAAGGGGGTGAGGTGCTCTCTCTGCCCGCCTTACTACTTCCTGTCTCCTCTCTACAGTCTTCCAAACCACTATGGTTAGCTAGTGGCTAGCTCTGCCCTGTAACTCCAAGCAAGCTTTGTCAGAACACAATCAAAATATCACACAACATTTTATCTTCATACATATTCATATTTTTAAAATGTATCCACTCATATTTGTTAAGTATACTATAACGTGCTTAGGTATCTTTTTTAGGTTCAATCTCTTAGTCACAGCTTAAAAATTCCAGGATTGAGACTCAAAATGACCATATATGAATGGACCAGGCCAGTACTCAAAGCTGTAATAATCCCGTATGTATAATATATAATACATAATACATGTTTTATATATATATCATATATAATTTTCTTTGATTTTGTATAACTTTCAAATAATACTGTCTGAACATGAAACCATAGCTGTCCCTCAAGATAAGCCAAGATGAAGGCTGCCTGTGAAGTCTCATCTCTTAAATGCAGAACAGCATGAATAGGTTCAGATAGTTGACGATAGCATACTTCTTTTTGAAAGAAAAAGAAAATAGCTGAAGCAAAAAAAAATCACCTTCTCTCTTTAGAAAATGATCCCATTTTCCATAACTTCGTTACAAAGAATAGATTTTCATTTTTGAAGCAGATCTGTAAAGAACAGACATAGGGGATCAGGAGGTCTTCATCACTAAGCTTACGGTAATGTAGCCTATGAGTCAGGACAAACAAGAACCATGTTAATGGCAGCAGCTGACATTTATTGAATATTGTCTGTTTAACATGGCATTGTAGATTATTTGTGGATAACGTGAGGTCTGCCATTGCCCTGATTTTGAAGATTAAAAAATCAAACTGTATGAAAATGTGTGCAAGGTCATACATGTACTAGCTTTCAGACACAGGACCTGTATTTAGAAGCTAATCTTAACCAGGATGCTATGCTGCATTTAGGAATTTAAAAGTAGTTTCATAATTCAGTTAGAGGAGCTAGTGGCATCAAGTCTTGAGTCTTAAGTCCTAAGTTGTTAGAAAGTGGCCCAAACATCCATATCATTCTGAAATTGAAAGTAAGAAGTAGATAGTTCCCTTCCAACAGGCACTGAGTACTGTGCACTGTTATGTTTCCCATGGAGTGTCAATCCTAACATCTGAGACTTTATCAAAAACTCAGCAAGTGAAAACTGAGGTACAAGGCAAGGACATCTGTCTCTGTAGACTGGAATAAAATCCAAGGAACAATAGTTCAGGGCAGGGGCATGGTGCTCTTGATAAGGGGTCTACATTATCTCTCCTGCTTTGGCTGGCTCCAGCCAGATGAGCAGCTGTAAATCTGGTTTAATTTAATAGAGTCCACTCTGGAGAAGCAAGGGCACCAGGCCAGGTAAGCCATTAGAGAATGGCCCAACTAGGTTAGAGTTCCAGACAAAAGAGTAATTTTACTAAGATTGTTTTTCCACCATGATAGCATCTGCTTCTGCAGGACACGGCATCACGTAGCAGTGACATTAGATATCTAAGGGCTATAGAGCAGAAAGATTAATTTTCATAAGTACATACTTTGATAGGCTTGTTTCACATGTATATTATGGTCCAGTTTAAGTTGTTATTCCCTTATTTTTAAACTACATGTTGCATAATACTGACTGTAGATATTTTGTGTCAAATAGAAATGAAATGGGTGTAATGCCTAATTGTGTATGTCCTTGGTACATCTCGTTCTTCCTTCCAACCCCCTACCTTTTGAGACTCTCAAGCAAGGCTATTACTTTGTTTCTGCTACAGATAGCCTGCCCTTCCTGATCTTAAGCCCCACAGCTTTACCTTATTAATTGTAGCAGGTGCCTCTTGGATGACCCAGGACCTCATTTGGGCAGCCCTTTGAAGACAGTTATTTTACAACCCAGCAAAATCAGTATGGCTATTTAAAGGCAGTCAGACAATTGGGGCTCCTCTTTGAGAGGCCCATATCCTTTGCTTCTCTTAACCCTCCTACCTAAGATCTATGCTAAAATATTTTTGGCAAACTCTTAACTTTTCTTCATAATGTGGCAAGTCTTCAAGTTATTTTCTGCATTGAAACCATGACTCCTAGGTTTGAATCAAGGTCTCTAACATATTAAGGGGATTCCCTTAAGCTGCTGAAGGTGACAGTGTAGAGCTGCCTCTGGGACCTTTTATTTGACCCATATGCTGATAGTAACTGTAGTGATTGGTTTACTACAGGTTTTCTAAATATCTCTTGGTGTAAGGACGCAGGCACTATGCTGGCCTACCCCTGTCACCTGGCAGAATGCACTCAGACTGTACCCTTGTCAGCCCAGGATTCCATGGTTGCATAGTCTGCACACAGGTGCAAAGGACTCTTTTAAAAGAAAGACCCCTGCCCACTTATGTAGGAGGAAAACAGAACTCCGCCATTAGCCATGTGACTTATTAGAGGCGCATACAGATGAGGTAATAAAAGGGCGGTTTACCACACCGCTAACCACACCCACTTTAGGCATGACTAAAGATGTATACGGACATAGGCGGTGAACTACGTCACTAGCCAGGCCCACTTTTGGCATGGCTAGGGGCGTTAAGGAGGAAGGTATAAGAGACTGAACAACAGAAGTCTAGCTCTCTTTTTCCGGCTTTCTGGCTTCCAGTTCGGTGGCAGAAAACTACTCGGCTCATCTGTATACGCCTCTAATAAGTCCACATGGCTAATGGTGGGTTCTGTTTTCCTCCTACACACTTATGCTCTCTTTCCCTCTCTCTTCCCAGCTCTCTTTCTGCTCTCTCTTTCCTGCTGTTCACCTCGGGCAGACAGGACTTTTCCTGTCTCCCTCTTCTCTTCTGTCCTCTCTCTGTCTCTGTGTCTCTTTACCTCCATTCTCTTTCCTTCCCCCTCCCTCCCCTCTCTAATAAAACTTGTCACTAAGCTCTGTCTGCCTGGCATGTTTGTCCCCCACCTTGGTCAAACTGGCCTGCTGTGGAATCCACCAAGGTCCCCCACTTGCTTTATCGTATCAACACTTACTGTTGAATTTTAGTATGGGTTTGAGGTCTGGAGAGATGCCTGAGCAGTAAGAGCACTTACTGATCCTGTAGATGACATGCGTTTTGCTCCAAGCACCCTCATGGCAGCTCATAACCATCTGTAATGCCAGTTCCAGGGGATCCTGCAGGGAACAGAGGAAACCCTGAGATTCTGGTTGAATATGTTGTTGATAAGGACATTACCCTGTAAAGGACACTAGCCTCATACCAAGAAGGAAATGACAAAGCCCTTCCCCACCCCTTGTCCACCGGAAACCCAGAGGGAAATAGCTAAACTTTCCCCCACCACACCCCATGCTCAGGGACACGACAAAGACTTTGTCTGCTCCATGTGTGGATACCAATAGTGTGTATAGAAAATGTCCACCATAGCTTTCTCCACCAGATGTTTGCAGACTGAAGACTGCTCCCTTACTGAGAGTGGTCTTTCAAAGATGCACTAACCCTGCCTCCTTGATGTAGTTGCATACACACATGAACCCTGCCTCCCTACTTATCTCTATAAAATATGCACTTACTTGTTCAGATGTATGCAATAACCCCTTTCATATAAGGTTGATTTTAAAAAATTATCTATGCCTATTCAAAATCAATGTGCATTCTGCAACTTTAAAGTACAGTATGATACATATGACTATTGGGTCCCGTGTCCAAATCTTATTCATCCTATAAACCATTTTGTCTGATGTGCCTAAAAAATGTTATGTTCCAGTTTCTCACTGTGATTTTTCACTTCTGTTTATTTCATCAATATCATTTAATGTGTAACTTAAATCATGTTATTAGGTACATTAAAATGTAGAATTATTATTGCTTATTATAGAGCTCAACTTTTTTAATTTAATTTTTACTTATTAGTATGTGGGGGTGTGCTGAAGCACACATGTGGTCAGAGGACAACAGTGGGGAGTCTGTTCTCTCCTTCCATGGTGGCATATAGAGATTGAACTTTCAACAGGCATTCATGGCAAATGCCCTTGGCTGCTAAGTTTTCTTGCTGGCCAGAATTCAGTGTTTATAATTTTTAAATATAAATGTTTCTAATCATTTTTCCTTATTGTTATCTTTGTCTGCTATAGCTAAGCCTTATATGTTATTGATATATTTTCATCTAGTATATCCTTAAAATCTCCAAAAATTGTAATATTCACTTAAACTCAGTTAAATATATCCACATATACTTTTTCATTGTTCATTATTCTTTCTTGTGTCTTAGCTTCTTCCACTTGGAAGTGGAATATTCTCCTTACTATAGAATGTTGCTAAAACTTCTCTACATAGCATGAAAAATATTCCCCTATTATTCTTCTAAGGAGTAATTTCATAGTTGGGGAATTTGGGGCATGTGTGTGTGTGTGTGCATATGTGTTAATGTGTCTATATAAGTATAGATAGATATCTTTGAAGATATCCTTTCATTTTCCTTTGGCTTCTCTTATTCTGATTGTACATAAAATGTATTTAAAATTTATTATTACAACATTATGAGTACTTAAAACTACAAAAGCTAAAACTAGCAGTACCTTGGTACTTACTGTCTGGCCTATTTCCTTTGTGGCTTATGGGGCTGTCTATTTATGTGTATATATTTAGGGACTCATATGACTTTGTCGTTTTTTATGGGCAAGAAGAAAACCCTCTCTGATCTCCAAAAACATCTTTGTAAATTTCTTTCCCTAAATTACAGATTCACCTATAGTGCCTAGATCTACACATGACACTCCACCACTCCTCCTCAGAAGGAACCTGCTAGCAAAACTTCCTGACAAACATCTGCTAAGAACATTTCTCATCTCACTGGCATGGTCTTTTGTAGAATTTTCAGAGGTCAGCTGCCTTTCTGATCTTTTGGATTATGCTGCTTTTCCAGGAATGTCTCAAAGGGATCCTGCTTGAAAGAAAAGATGCCATACTGTGACATTTTACTGCTTATAAAGAGAACAAGAATGGTCTCTGTCTTATTCTTTGATCCAGCTTCAAACAAAAGTGCTGTTTAAAAACAGAAATGGAACTGATGAAGTCATCAACTAAAAGCCTCACCCACCACCACCCATTTATTTTCTAGTCTAGAATGAATCTAATGATAAACACTTCCTAGAAAGGTTAAGGAGAAAACAATCTACCAAAACAGTAAACCTCCCATTCTCCACCTCTAAAATTGGATTTTAGGCATCTGATGTGAGTTAGTGGAGTGTATTCAATGATGCTGAGTTCATAATGACTAAGAGGGGGTTGTCTAAGCCACCAAGGTTAAAAAGGGCAGGGCATCACCACAACCAAACTACTATTTAATATAATCTTTACTTAACCACCTATAGTGGCATGAGCATGTAGCATGGCAAATGAATGCTCATGGTCAATTAAGAAGCAAAAAATGTGCCATTTTCATAACAAAGAAGAATTGATGTATATGTATTTCTAAATGCCATGTTTTCTGTGAATTTATTTTTTAATTTCTCCTGAGAAATACTTTAAAAAATTCCTAAATCTAACATATTTAGAACAAAAATTGTATGTATGTGTATCATTTACAAATTAGAGTGACCCTCAGAAGAAAGTGTGACTCAAGTGATTCAAGGGTCTCGAGTTTTGTCATGAGGTGGGAATTTCTCTTCATAATGAAGTTCAAGTGTGATGCTCTCTGTGTGGTCAGTAGAAGCTAGGTGTTACTGTGATAAAGGGAAGTGGGGTGAGCATGCTCGAAGGGAGCATGGCTCCGGAGGATTGTCACTGTGATCTCAATGCTGCATTTAAGAAATGAAATTTAGGTCACAATCACCCAACTGAGAAGAGAATGATAGCTTATCAGTTTAGAGTGGACCTTACACAGAAACCCATCCACAAGGGCAGTTAGCAAGTAGAGTCTCATCTCAGCAAGAAGAGACTCAAAAAGAAGAGAAAATTGGTTGCTTCCCAAAAGCAGTATGTCAGACTCTTGTACCCTGAAGGACTCAGTTCCCACTCTGAGATCTCCCTCACTAGAACTGCTGTCCTTGTCCAACCATGCTGTACATTCTCATTTCCTAACATTGTATTCTTCCATTTTTACTGGTCTTCAGAGCAGACACATGCCTTGCTTCATCATATGTGCAAGGAGTTAAAATTTCTGGCTGCACGAGGATACAGTTAGGGAAGCAACTGGGTGGTGGTGTGGAGAGGAATTCAGTGACACTGACTTTAGAAAGACTCGTTTCCTGTTACCTAACAGTCAACATTGGCTTCCCTACCCCCCACTCCAGCTTCAGTGGCTTAAACTGAAAAATAAGTCACTTTCATCTTTGATATGCGAGCTGCCCGGTACCTCGTGTTCTTTTAGGAGTTTATACAGGTGCTTAGGCTCATTGGATAAATCTGTTGTTTGGGTAAAGAATTTTGTCCATTTTCTTTTTTTCCTCACTTTAATTCAGAAGTCCTTATTTGTGGGAGGGGTTTGTCGTCTTCTTTTTTTTTTTTTCCATTCTTCTTTTGGCTAACTGGAGAGAAAAAGTGTCATTGACATTACCCAGAGAATATGTTTCTTTCAGCTTTTGAATAAGGAATACCAGAATGGCACTTTCTGTCAAACCTCACAACCTGAATTCAAGCCCCAGGACCCACATGGTAAGAATGAGACAGAACCTATTCCAGCAAATTGTCCTCCGACACTCGTCACCCTCCAAATGCTTGTGATTGACAAGTAAGGGAAAGTCATTTTAACCAAGCCAATTCATTATAAATGAATTAATCTCCAATCTAGGCATATCTTGACAAACTAATAGATGCCAGCTGAACCAAATTTCCATGGAACTGACAATCTTCTAATGTGATGTGTTCTTGGATTGTTCTAAAATTATTGCCTTATTTAAGTGAAACATTGACCTTAAAAATAAATCCTCTACTGATAAAATATATTAAAGTTTGTACTTGGGTGCTCAGGAAGTGCACTTGGAAGTGACCCATGGAGGAAGATTCACAACACCCTGGACCCTCTCAGACTTGTCTTAGATTGCCTTAAGACCTTAGCTATCATGCTGTTCCTCTAACATCAAACAATGAACAGGAGTATAAGAAATAGTTCTGTGAATTTTTTCCTCTTTTACCTCTTTGTATTTCAGGAGCAGAGTAGTTATAGTCTTTTTTCTTCTTTTTTTTTCTTTTAATTTAAATTAGAACTAGGCCCTCCCCCAAGAGTCCAGGCTGAAAGAGCATCCCTCATTGTGGGATGGGCACCCAAAGTCTATTTGTATGCCAGGGATAAATACTGATCAGTCTTTTTAAAAGAGATTTACTTTTTAAAAATTATATGTACATGTACAGGCATAATCATGTAAGTGCAGGTGCCTGTGAAGATCAGAGGTGCCAGATCCTGAAGCTGAAGTTACAGTTGATTGCGAACCACCAAACTCAGGTCCTCTGCAAGAGCAGTGATTACTTTAATCATTGGACCATCTTTCTAGACCCCCACATTCTTCTTTTGAACAATCAAATAAAGTTTAGTTTAAAGAATAAACCAGTACCAAATCTTTTCATCGAATATGTTGCAATGAAGTGTATGAAATAATTTCACATAGGACAGGAAAAGAAATGAGGTGTGTACTTATCCTATGCACAATAAATGTGCATAACTATTGCATGAATACAAAAAATAAAGGCAGGCTGTTGTGTTCATAATATTTCAGTTTATCTGTTCAAGCCCATGCACATCATTATAGATATCATTTTCACAGCAGAGTAACCATAGCCCACAATTTAATTTTCTACACAGCATCAAAAAGGATGAAAACATGTTGAGGGAGATGACTTGGTGAAAAAGAGCACTTGCTACACCAGCATGAGGACCTGAGTTCAAATCTCCCAGAATCTGTGTAAAAAGTTGGGCATAGTTTCGTATACCTATAACCATAGTCCTGTTGGGGGGTGGCATAGAGACAGGAAGATTGTTGGGTCTTGCTGGCTGCCAGCCTAAATCCAAGCTCACTGACACACCCTCTTTCAAGAGTGTTAGAGAAGGACACCTGACATCCTCCTTTGGCCTCCACACAAGTGTGCTCTGCTATACATATACATGTGCACATAAAATATGCACACACTACCTACATATTCATACCCCCAAAACTGGGAAAAGTGAAATAAGTAGGCTTTGTAAGTAGATTGCCCTTCCAGGGTTTAGGAGTCCTCAGAGACCGTGTCCATCACAGATGGTATTTACATATAGGAAGCTGGCCTACTCATGTGCCTTGCTGTCATTATAGTTCTTGGTTTCTTCAATTAAAATTGAATTTGATTATATTTGTCAGAATGCACATATAATTTTGATGGTTTGGGTCAAATATGTTGGGGAATATTAATTTAAGGTGTGTTGGTTTTGTTTATGTTGCATTTGTTTAACTCTGTGAAGCTGTGTTACTGTGCCTGTCTAAAACACCTGTTGTTCTTTCTAATAAAGAGCTAAATGACCAATAGCAAGGCAGAAGAGAGTATAAATGTGAGCAGAAATGTGGGAGAAGGAGATCTGGGAATGAGAGAGGAAGGAAGAGTCCTTCAGGACCCAGCCACCCAGCCACCCAGCTCCACAGCCAGACAGAGTGTGAAGGAAAGAAAAGGTATACCAGAATAGAGAAAGATAAAAGCCAAGGCCAAAGATAGATGAGATAATTTAAGAACAGCTGGCAAGAAACAAGCCAAGCTAAGGCTGGGCATTCATAAGTAACAATAAAACTCTGTGTATTTATTTGGAAGCTGAGTTGCAGATCCCCCAAAAAAGAGCAAAGAGTGGCCTGGCGGTGGTGGTGCATGCCTTTAATCCCAGCACTCGGGAGGCGAGGCAGGCGGATCTCTGTGAGTTCCAGGCCAGGCTGGACCGATAGCCTCCAAAATAATACAGAGAAACCCTGTCTCATAAAACCAAAAAAAAAAAAAAAAAAAAAAGAGCAAAGAGTGAAAAGAAAAACACAAATACACATTGAGCAATCTAAAGGAAGATTCCTTCTTTGGTCAATAACATTACTAATTTGCAACCCTTTATTGTCCATCTTTTTTCACTATTCTAAGAATTTGCTTAGTTGCATATGAGTTTATGATTATAGTGGCTTAAAGTGTTCTCTGTATAAGCAAGATTAGCCCCTTGCTGTGCTGTGGGATAACAACATTTTTCCTCACATGGTTCTTTCGCACAGTTATGCATCAACTTTCTCCTTAAAATTCAATTTCCCCACTTAATAAAAAGATAGTCTCCTTTAGTTTTATTTTATTAATGTTTTTTCATTTATTTTACATGCTTGCCACAGTTTCCCCTCCCTCCTCCTCTTTTCCTCCCATCCTCCTCTCCCCACCTCCTCCCATCTATCCCTTTTCAATCCACTCCTCCTGTCTCCATTCAAAAAGAGGCAGGCCTCCAATGGGCTTGGACAAATCATGACACATCAAGTTGAGGCAGGACCAGGTTCCTCTCCCTGCATCAAGGCTGGGCAAGGTAATCCTAAGCACCAGGGACAGGTTCTGATCTCACTGCTAAGAGCCTTAAGCCAGACCAAGCCATAAAACTGTCACACACATGCCAAGGACCTAGGTCAGTCCCATATAGGCTCCGTAACTATTGGTTCAGAGTCCAGGAGCTCCCAGGAGCTTAGATCAGCTATCTCTTTGAGTTCCCCCATCATGACCTTGACCCCCATGGCTCATAAATCCCTCCTCCCTTTCTTCTGTAGGACTTCCAGAGGTTGGTCTAGTGCTTAGCTATGGATTTCTGCATCTGCTCCCTGATGACAATTAAGGTAGTCAGTAATCTGATTACAGTAAATGGTCAGCTCAGACACTCTCTGCACTATTGCTAGAAGTCTTAGCTGGAGTCATCTTTGTGGATTCCTGGGAGTTTCCCTGGTATCAGGTTTCTCCCTAAACCTAAAATGGGCCCCTTTGTCAAGACATCTCTTTCATTACTCTCCCTCTCTGTCCTGCCCCCAACCAGCCTCCTGCACCCAACCCACCCAATCCATTCCCTCAAGTTCCCATCCTCCTATATCCCCCATTCCTACTCCCAGTTTATCCAAAAGATCTCTTCTATTTCCCCTTTCCAGGGAAATCCTCTTTAGGCCCTCCTTGTTACCTACCCTCTCTAGGGCTGAGGATTGTAGTCAGATTATCCTTTGCTTTACAGCTAATATCCACTTAAGAGTGAGTACATAACATGTTTGTCTTTCTGAGTCTATTTTACCTCACTCAATGATTTTTCCTAGTTCCATCCATTTGCCTGAAAACTTCATGAGGTCATTGTTTTTTGTTTGTTTGTTTGTTTGTTTGTTGTTTTTGTATTTTTATAGCTGAGTAATACGTCATTGTGTAAATGTACCACATTTTCCTTATCCATTCTTAAGTTGACAGGCATTTAGGTTGTTTCCAGGTTCTGTCTATTATGAATGATTCTGCTATGAACATAGTTGAGTCAGTGTCTTGTGGCATAATTGAGCATCCTTTGGGTATATGCCCACAAGTGGTTTAGCTGGGTCTTGAGGTAGATTGATGCCCAATTTCCTGAGAAAGCACCATACTGATTTCCAAAGTGGCTGTACAAGTTTGCATTCCCACAGCAATGGAGGAGCATTCCTCTTACTCCACATCCTCTCCAGAATAAGCTGTCATAAATGGTTTTGGTCTTAGCCATACTGACTAAGATGAGTAAGAAGATATCTCAGAGTCATTTTGATTTTCATTTGCCTGATGACTAGGGATGTTGAACAATTCTTTAAGTAATTTTTTTAACATCTGAGATTCCTCTGTTGAGAATTCTCTTGTTTAAATCTGTACCCAATTTTTTAATTCAATTATTTGGTGTTTTTACGTCAAGTTTCTTGAATTCTTTATAAAACTTGGAGATTAACCCTCTGTCAGATGCAGGGTTGATGATCCCATTCTGTAGGCTGCCACTTTGTCGTCTTATTGACAGTGTCCTTTGCCTTACAGAAGCTTTTCAGTTTTAAGAGGCCACATTTATTAATTGTCATTCTCAGTGTCTGTGCTACTGGTGTTATATTCAGGAACTGGTCTCCTGTGCCAGTGTATTCAAGGCTCCTTACCACTTTCTCTTCTGTCACATATAGTGTAACTGGATTTATGTTGAGGTCTTTGATCCACTTGGACATGAATTTTGTACAGGGTGATAGATATGGGTATATCTGCATTCTTCTTCATGCTGTCATCCAGTTATGCCAACACCATTTGTAGAAGAAGCTTCCTTCCTCCCTCCCTCCCTCCCTCCCTCCCTCCCTCCCTCCCTCCCTCCCTTTCTTTCTTTCTTTCTTTTTTTGGCTTCTTTGCCAAAAATCAGGTGTCCCTAAGTGTGTGGTCTATAATTTCATTCCTTTGATCTGCATGTCTGTATTTATGCCAATACCATGCTGTTTTTATTACTATAGCTCTATAGTAGAGCTTGAAGTCAGAGATGGTGATACCTCCGGAAGTTCCTTTATTGTACAGAATTGTTTTAGCTATCCTGGGTTTTTTGTTTTCCATATCAAGTTGAGTATTGTTTTTTTGTGGTCTGTGAAGAATTGTGTTGGGATTTTGATGGGGATTGCACTGAATGTGTAGATTGCTATTTTTACTGTGTTGATCCTACCTATCCA